TGGTGCTGGAGGAGGCTCTTGAGAGTCCTCTGGACTGCAAGGAGAACATATCTATCCATTCTAAAGGAAATCAACCCTGAGTGCTCACTGGAAGGACAGATCCTGAAGCTGAGGCTCCAGTAGTTTGGCCATCTCATGAGAAGAGAAGACTCCCTGGAAAAGACCTTGATGTTGGGAAAATGTGAAGGCAAGAGGAGAAGGGGACGACAGAGGATGCGATGGTTGGACAGTGTCATTGAAGCAACCAATACGAATTTGACACACGCCTGGAGGCTGTGGAATATAGGAGGGCCTGACGTGCTCTGGTCCATGGGGTCACAAAGAGTTGGACACGACTAAATGACTAAACAACGACGAGAAGGCCATTAAACAACAAGTAAACATAGAATCATATTAAAAAGACAATCGCTGAAAAACAGTTTAGAAATACCTAAACATAAACTCCAGCGCAGTGTACAAATATACAGCGTTATGCAATAGAACCATTTTCTCGGTGGTCCTATTTGGTTACTAAAAGCCTGCTTCAAAAGAAAGGTCTTTGCTGGAGATGGGCATGAAGTACTTTGTGCCCCTTTGTCATAAGTCATTTGCACGGCAGCACAACTGTCACACGTTCCCTCACCCACTGACCTTCTGGCACACACTGCTTCTTCCCTCCCCACCACACGATTGTCCAGTCACAGCAGGAGCCTGGACTTCTCTGCCTCCTCAAGCAACTGGCCACTCAAAGGTAGCGCTGCAGGAATCCCTGCACTGCCTCCTCATCTCCAGTTAATGGACCAGCTGGTCTGCAGGAAGGCACTAGATCTCTGCTACATCTGTAGTGCTGATTATTTGTATTCATACTCCCAGGATACCAATACAAATAGCCCAAGTTTAGTAATGAGCTTTCACTCTTGGGTTTCTGCCCAAGAGTGAAAGATTCTGAGGTCTACAGTATTTTTCCGTGCATAAGATGGCCCAATGGATAAGACAACCCCTGCTTTTCTAACCCCAAATTAGAAAATTTGATCGCTGCTTTCCCCCTCCATTTCCTTAGCCCACAAAGTGGAGGGGGAAAGGAGCAATCAAAGGGCTGTAGGATCAAAGGGCTGCGATCCTGCAGTGCTTTGACCCCTTTCTCCCCCTTACTTCTCTGTATAAGATGACCTTCAAGTTTTAGTCTAAAAATTTTTAGATAAAAGTATTGTCTTATACACAGAAAAATACGGTACGTCCCTATAATAAGGTTCAAAAAGTCCCCTTTCTGGAATACAAGTTGCAGAGTTTCCTCAAGCCACTGGCTATGTTGTCACTGATTGTGGCATGGGGGAAGGGCCCTCTTTCCTGCAGCCCTCAGGCAGCAAAATGCCTGGCTTCACATAGCATACTGCAAATCCCCTGAGGCTGACAGGAGTGTGAAAAGATCTGCTGAGCCCACCTGTACACTGTTTATACAGTCTTTCTCTACCTGGGAACCATATGTTTGTGATGTATAATGTGTGAAAGAGAGTGGAGGTTGTATTGGGAGGAAGGCGGAACGACAAAATTGATGAATGCAATTGACCAAAAGACAACAGACCCAGCAACGCTCTATAAACAGTAGAAGTGACTGTGATTTGAAAAGCGAGCATTGTGCTGTGGTTACTCTGTGGGGAGATGTCTTAGAATGAGCTAGCGATGAAACTCTCTCTCTCTCTCTCTCTCTCTCTCTCTCTCTCTCTCTCTCTCTCTCTGTGTGTGTGTGTGTGTGTGTTGAATATGCAAATAAGGCCAATCAGCATCAACAGCATCTTGCAGATGAGAAGTAGCAATGAAATGTGAAATGGCTCACAAATCAAAAAGTATCACCCATAAAACATGCATTGGAGATATATTCATGATAGCATAGGGACACCAGCTAGATAATCAAGTGACCGATTTGCATATGAAACAGGAGGTTCCTTGCAGGGAGCGCCTTCCATCTGCCCCAGAAGATCAAGCGCGCACACACTCACACACACAAATCAGATTAAAATGAACGGTAAGCTATTTAAAGGAAATCACTATTAATAATACGAGGCCTCCATGTGGTAAAATGTATTTTGCTTAGAGTATACAGATTAGATACTTTAATACACACACACACAGCACATTGTATTAGCATGAAGTGGAAATACTTGTTTGTGTGTGTCTGCGTTTTAAGAGTCCCACAATAGATATTTTCGCTGCAGAGGTTTAGTGAATTAAAATTTTCACGTGTAGGAGATGGAAGGGTGGCTTTAAAGAGGCTCTCAAGAACCCATCCACAGTGCGTATCTGCAGAAGAGCATTTCATAGAGAGAAAAAATACCATTGTGCTGTATATTGCAAATGAAAATGGTATTTCAGCCCCCTCCCCTTCTTCTCCCTCTGGGAAACATTTTTGTGTGGGAAACATTTAAGACACTCCTCATGCACAGTCTAGAGCCACATAAAATTACACCGGATGTGCACCTGGTTGGCATTTGTTATGGGGAGTGTGAGCCTAAGAAATGTTGCTACCTGAAACAAAGATCAAGATGGTACCCAAGTCCTTGTTGCAAACTTGAGCAGATTGGCAGTTTGGTCTTTCGCATCAATGATGGGTGTGTGGGGTCCATTTCAACTGAGGCAGCAGAAAGCTAGTTTGGGGCCCCCAAGGTAAGATGTGGAGAAAACACACCTTTGTCGCTCAAACAGAGATAATTTAGGGGGAGGGGTCAGTAGGAACAGCTGGTGAGTGCCACTGTCTCCCCTCAGCATCTGTTACTTGTGACATGCACTTCACTGCACCTAAAGGGAAGACCAACTTTACTCAGAAAAACTTACAGCGCTGAAATCTTGTGGAATAGATCAAGCTTGGGCAACTTTCAGAGGTCATGGGGCTCCTGATGCCTACTCCTGGGCTGTGGAGGCTTGACACTCCCCCATGTGCCCTCATATCAACAAGCTCTCTCAGGGCCTTCACTGGGCATGGGAGACAAGGCCACTAGGTGTTCTACCCCCCACCCCACCCCAGATCCTTTGTATGCTCACATACAAAGCCCTAAATGGTTTAGGGCCTCAATACTTGGTGGAACACCTACTCCCACCAAAATCCACCCATATCACCCAATCTAGTCAGGAGGTGAGGCTGAGGAGCCTGATGCCGAGGGAGGTCCGGAAGGAAAAAAACTAAGAAACCGGGCCTTCTCAGCAGTTACTCCTCGCCTTTGGAAAAATCTTCCTCCTGAGATCCGTACAGCCCCCTCACTGGGCATTTTTAAAAGCCAATTGAAAACCTGGCTGTTTAGGCAGGCCTTCCCTCCAGTTACTATTTGATTTATTTCTTCTTATTTTTCCATCTTGAATAATTTGATTATTGATATTTATAACATTGTTATCTTTTATAATGTTTTATTATACATGTTGGAAGCCGCCCAGAGTAGTCAATTTACTAGATGGGAGGGGTATCAATCAATCAATCAATCAATCAATCAATCAATCAATCAATCAATCAATCAATCAATCAATCAATCAATCAATCAATCAATCAATTTATACCAAGGAGAGACTTCTCCCCCCCAAACCCAGAAGTGATTCTTCAGATTTTTTGGGGAAAGGGTGTCCCCATAGTGACCATTTTCACCCCACGCAGAGGGGCAGAGTTGTGTGCGCAAGCGGCAGAGCCCTGCCCAGCGGGGCTGAAAATCAGAGAGAACATTGCCCCCAGGAGGGGGTCAAAAATTTGGCAAAATGGTATCCATACCACTGCTGTGACTCATTTCCACCCAATTTTTAAAATGTATCTGTGTGGGATAGAGCAGTGGTTCTTAACCTTTGTTACTCGGATGTTTTTGAACACACCCAATTTTTAAAATGTGTCTGTGTGGGATAGAGCATAGGGCCTTGGGGAGGTTGGGAGACAGAAATCGGGTCCCTGACAGTCACATGTTTACCACAGGAGCATAGGGCCTTGGGGATGTTGGGAGACAGAAATTGGGTCCCTGACAGTCACATGTTTACCACAGGTGGCATTTTGCTCATTCCTAATGTACGTGATCCAGTGTATAGGGGCAGAGTCACATAGAAAGGGCACGAAAAAGGGAGCACTCCATCGGTTCTGCTGTGAGCCTGAAACAATAATTATAATTAGAGGGTTCTTGTCCCTTTTCACATGTTCCTCAAGCTAAAATTTCCTTCTATGGCCTTTGATGCTGTTATCCTGTTGCTTGAGAAGTAGCCTTTAAGACTAGGGGATTCTAGGGCTCAAAACTGAAAAAAAGTAAAGTTCCCAAATTTTGTGGCTCTGGGGCAGTTGTACCAGCCCTGGATAACTCAGGTGTTCTTGGACTGCAACTCCCAGAAACACCAGCCAGCGCAGCTGATTGGGAAGGCTTCTGGGAATTGCAGTACAAGATTACCTGGATTACCCAAGTTTGGGAACCATTGATCGAGGGCATTATGGGAACTTCAAATGGCAACTCCAGCCTATCACTGCTAAATAAGCCTAAGAGGACTCTTCCATATAAAAGGATAAATGAACAAACAAATAAAAAAATGGTTGAATCGATGAACAAATGAGACAATCCTTACTCAATGGGCCCTTCCATTAAGATCAGATCATTTAACAACTTTTCTTTCCTCCACTGCTAAATAAGCCTGAGAGGACCCTTCCATATAAAATGATAAATGAACAAACAAATAAACAAATGGTTGAGACAGTCCTTACTCAATGGGCCCTTCCATTAGGATCAGATCATTTAACAACTTTTCTTTCCTAAGTGTGTCTCGGTCAACTCCTGTATCTAAAAACCTGCATTGTACAGATGTATCAGTGCTAATTCTGCTTTGGAAGACTGGTTTCCTACTGCCTTTTCCTTTCCCTTTCTCACAGAGCCTTAGTTGGATAAAAAGCATGCTCCAGTGGGACGGTTGATCCAGTAGTTTAATTAAAGTGCATGCAGGGCCTAGGAAACAGAAGACAGAACCACAAACCAAGACAGGAGCAGTATATAAAATAAAATTATGGCGATACGTACATTTTTTCGACTTCACCAAATCCCACGAAGGCTCCTTTGGGGATGATTCTTATTTTGGTGAGGAAAAAGATCCTGAAAGCACAAGATAATGCATTTTTAATGTATTAAGTATAGCATTATATAAATAATTAGTTTGGATGACTTTGGGAGGTAAAGGGGAATGAAACTCCATGCCAAGAAAAATGCTGTCCTCAAAACAGGTTTATTATATTTTGAAGGCAGCTTGCATCTTTTGCATATAAGGTTATTTCAGCTGCAGGTTGGATTCTGAGACTGACAGCTGGAATTTTGAAAAAATTGGATTCCAACCCCCTCCCAACGTCTTTACCACTGAATGTATTCACGAAGGCTTTCATGGCCTGTCCTCTGAAGATGCCGGCCACAGAGACCGGTGAAATGTTAGGAAGCCATTGAATGTATTCACAAAGGCTTTCATGGCCTGTCCTCTGAAGATGCCGGCCACAGAGACCGGTGAAATGTTAGGAAGAACAACCTTCAGAACATGGCCAAAGAGCCTGAAAAACCCACAACAACCATTTGCCAGTGAACTTGGGCTGAAAGAGGTCCCACTGCTCCTTCTGCCTGATTTGGTGTCAGAATTGAATGCAGCCATCATGACCTTATGGTGGTTTGGAAAGACATGGCTTATGTTGGGCCAGTGGCATGATCAATCACATGGTTTGAAAAGAAAACAACAACAAAGTTTGATTCTGAGTCCTGACAACTGAATTTCAACTATTTGATTGGACTAGGACTGTGCGTTGGACTAGAGAACTCTTGAATGGCTAAGCACGTTGGCCTGATTTGGGTCAGGTTGTATGAGGTCTGGATAGAAGTGGAATGGGCAGTTCCAGTACCAGGAAGCAAAATTACAATTTGATTTGAGCTGTGTCCAGAGGACAAATTGAATTAGATAGGGGCACTAATGGCTTTAGCCTGCCTGCCTGCCTGCCTGCCTGCCTGCCTGCCTGCCTGCCTGCCTGCCTGCCTTCCTTAAATTGAATTAGATGGGGCATTAATGGCTTTAGCCTTCCTTCCTTCCTTCCTTCCTTTTTTTTGGGGGGGGGAAAGTAAAATTTGCAGATATCTAGCACAGAAGCGTGCTAGATATCTGCAAATTTTACTTTTTTCCAAAAAAAAAAAGGAAGGAAGAGACGTGTTGGTGCTGCAGGCTAAACCGCAGAAGCCTGTGCTGCAGGGTCAGAAAACCAAGCAGTCATAAGATCGAATCCACGCGACGGAGTGAGCTCCCGTCGCTTGTCCCAGCTCCCACCAACCTAGCGGTTCGAAAGCATGCAAATGCAAGTAGATAAATAGGGACCACTTCGGTGGGAAGGTAACAGCGTTCTGTGTCTAAGTCGCACTGGCCATGTGACCACGGAAGATTGTCTTCGGACAAACGCTGGCTCTATGGCTTGGAAACGGGGATGAGCACCGCCCCCTAGAGTCAAACACGACTGGACAAAAATTGTCAAGGGGAACCTTTACCTTTACCTAGCACAGAAGCCCCTGTGTCAACTTATCTCTCTTCTCTTGTCTCCAGACTTCATGGACCCCAATGCAAAATGGAAAAAAATATATTAAAGACATTTTGATTTAAAATGCCAGTCAAAAAGGATGCTTGCAAAACAACAAATCCAGCACTGAAGTAGAACTGGATGGAGCACAAATTGTTCTGGACCCAAACCGGGATGCATTCCAAAGCCCGGAATTAGGCTCCAAATTGGACTGGAAGAACTGCACACAGTTCTACATTGGGCCCCTAGGCAGGACATCTTTCAGAGACTCTTGCCCCCAGAAAGGAGAATTTTGTTCCAGAGCCACTCATAATACAAAGATTATATCAGCACCTAACTACTTTTCACAGACTGCTTCCTCTCAGGAGTGACAGCTAATTGTTTCTTGAATTACCACACTCCTTGCCTCAGCAGTCTTGCCTGATAGATGAATCTTCTCTTTTTATCTCCTCAGATTTCTCTCCTAACAGCTTTTGTAAGCCAATTTCTTTTTACAATATTGTTTTAAAATCCCTTCCCCCTCCCTGTATTCCCCCCCTCCCGGCTTCACCCATTCCTTGTGGGAATCAGTGTTGGGTGAACAGTTATTGGATTCCATGCTATCCAATTGCATAACATTACAGAACTGGTCCATACTCTTTGAATCACATTCTCTGGAACTGTCCTATAGCAGATGTAGACTTAATCTGGAGAGTGTGCTCTCTCAGCTGCAGTTTGCAGGCCTGGTTCTTCCATGAGGTAAAACTGTGAGGGCTGATGACTCAGATTTTGCAGGATGATGATAAATATACTTTGGTTTTTTGTTTGAAGTTGAACTTTTAAGATGCCATCTAAGGGGCAAAACCTATGGGGGGGGGAAGAGAAGACATAGCATCTTGGGCAGCTTCTGTGAAGTATGGAGTGGGTTTGATGCCCCCACACACCTGGAGTTACCAGCCTCCACTGAGGTAAAGTGCGGGGTTCACTTCTGGTGACAGAGTGCCAGAAAGAGCAAATTGTGCTGCTTTGCTCATGGAGGATCTCCAGAGCCAGCCAGTCCCCAAATGCTTGATAGGGTGGTGAGCCAGTCATTGCAGTCAGGGTGTCCTCACCAGTAGTGATTTTCTATGTACAGGTAACTTCCTGAGGACTTTGTCCACGGCACCTGACTCTGAGGATTGGCCCCTCACTGGCCAGCTTTCTGGAGAGCAATGGTGGACAGTGTCTGCAGCTGGTGCTCCTCTCCACAAAACTCACATGCATTCTGTCCTGGAATTGCCAAATTGAACGTGCCACATTTAAACACTGTCTAAATATCAGAGTTCTGTGGTAAATGATTTGCCTATTTAGTCCATGGCCCAGCCTTAGTTCAACGTGCGTAACACCCAAACAAACTTTTAGAGCACTGACTTGGATCTTGAAGCCAGATTATCATAGTGGAAGGAAACTTATCCTTCCCCTGCCTACAGGTTCCCCTGAAACATCAAGAATCCTAGCCTGTTGGGACATAAGATCAATGTGTATGTGTGTGTTTGGAGAGATGCAGGTAGATAGCTGAATGTTTCTAGAACATTATATACAGTATAGATTGCTACTGCTAGGTACTCATTCCTCCTCTTTTCCCTGAGGTTTTCTGCTTTTTGCATCTCCATCTTAGCTACACAGAGGCAAATAATGGCTGCCAGGAGAGCTGCATGAATCGGAACCAGGGCTAGGACTTTGTCTGCCTATGTTAAGCATTCTTCACCCTCTACTGCTAGGTACTCATTCTTCCTCTTTTCCCTGAGGTTTTGCTCTGCTTTTTGCATCTCCATCTTAGCTACACAGAGGCAAATAATGGCTGCCAGGAGAGCTGCATGAATCGGAACCAGGGCTAGGACTTTGTCTGCCTATGTTAAGCATTCTTCACCCTCCTACACTATATTAAAACTGATTTTCTTGAACATATTAAACTGCAAGCATCTCTTTTTGGTCTTAATACCAGTTTCTAGGGTGATCAGTTCTGCACAGTATCACATTAGGCCACTGAACTCTCCAGTATAAATAAATCCTAACACGACCAAGGAAATATCAGTTTGTTTTTTGTATGTAGATGATGAAACCGTTATCAAAACTGCAAGGGAGAAAAGCTAAAAATATTAGGTTTAATGTTGGAATTTCAGTTGCAAGCTCACATGCTCTTTGTAATTTGAATGGTTGGGAGGGACTTTTCAATGCTGGGTTATCTAGCACTAACCAGGTGTTCTTTCCAGCTTTCAAAATTCAAAGACAGCCCCACCTCTCTGCTGAATGTGTTATCCCTCTCTTTTGCCACTTGTTGCTGTTGATCTGTCTCGTTGCTTGGTACAATGTATGTGCAGTGAAGAAAGCAACATACAAAAGCTTGTAATTTCAAGTAACTGTAAGTAATTATTTTTAATTCTTTCTCCTACAATGTCTTAGGAGTTTGATTAGCCATTGCGCCTCCACCAAAGGGAGGGAGTAATAAACCACTTCAGAGTACAAGAAACTCCAGGAAAGATTTTCCACAAGTCAGAACTGACTGGATGGAGAGGATTATTATTGAGAGTCAGTCTGGTGTAGTGAATAGTGTCAAAGACCTGGCTTCTGTTCAGCCATAGAAACTCCGTCGAAAACCACTCCTTGCGCAATTCACACACACCAGACACCCTATTAGGATTTCTGTAACTTGGAAGTGACTTGATGGCACACAACAACAATTATTCTTGGAAGACCCACTAAAAGAGAAGAATGCATGATGAATAGAGGGGAAATAATACAACAGAGATTTGGATACCATTTCCAACAAGGACTGAGGTGAACTGAGGTCTTTTGTACTACTGGTCCAGGCTCAGCACCTTTGCACCAAGTAGGAAGCTTTGTTGTTGTTGTTGTTTAGTCGTTAAGTCATGTCCGACCCCTCGTGACTCCATGGACCAGAGCATACCAAGCCCTCCTGTCTTCCACTGCCTCCTGGAGATGGGTCAAATTCATGTTGGTAGCTTCGATGACACTGTCCATCCATCTTGTCCTCTGTCGTCCCCTTCTCCTCTTAATCCCCTTCACAGATTGCTGCCTTGTCGTGGCAAAGGGGCTTGAGTAATTCAGAGAAGATATGGGCTATGCTGTGCAGGGACACTCAAGATGGACAGGTCATAGTGGAGAGTTCTGACTAAACACGATCCACCTGGAGCAGGAAATGGCAAGCCACCCCAATATCTTTGCCAAGAAAACCCCATGGATAGAAACAAAAGAAGCTTTACTGCAGGCCAACTCCATAAAGAGTTTCCTGGGTTACACAGAGAGGTCCACTTACCACAGTGGTTCTTAACCTTGGGTTACTCTGTTTTTGGACTGCAACTCCCAGAAGCCTTCACCACCAGCTGTGCTGGCTGGGGTTTCTGGGAGTTGCAGTTTAAAAACACCTGAGTAACCCAAGGTTAAGAACCACTGACTTACCACCCGTTCCAGTCAGGGCAGGTAGCTGACGGAAAAAAGAGGTCTGAAGGGAAAAACCTAAAAATTGGGCCTTCTCGGGAGTGGCCCCTCACCTCTAGAACAACCTGCCTGCAGAGA